TTCTTTCTTTCTTTCTTTCTTTTTTTCCTCCTTCCCTCCCTGCCTGCCTCTGTCTCTCTTTCTCTCTGTAGATGAAGCAGATGCAGCAACTGGAACGAGAACGGGATGCTTTGTTGCAAGGCCTGGAAATGGTTAACCAGGTACGCGACTGGTTACAGTGCCACCTGCTGGAAGCTCAAAAACGCCAGAAGCACATGGGAGCCCAGGCGGTAAGTCAGGACGGGCGGCCTTTTTGTCTGCCACGATTGTGGTGGGTCATCAGGCACAAGCGGGGCATCGCAAGCAGGGCTCCAATAAAGAACACGTGATTGCTGGGCCAAGTGCGGCCTGATGCGGCTCTAAGGTGGATGATCGCCAACCTCCCTGTGAGTAATAACAAAAACACACAGAAATTGGCTTTGTACAAACACACCCTAAACATTGCAGGTTTTGCACTTCCTAAAAGCTTGTCTTTGTATTTACTTGTGGAGTCAGCAAACTCCTGATTGACTGCAATATGTCATACGGTCTAGTACAGGTAGTCCTCGACTTACGACCACAACCGAGCCTCAAATCTCTGAGACATTTGCTAAGTGAATCTGGCCTCATTTTACGACCTTTCTTGCCCCAGTTGTTATGTGAATCACTGCAGTTGTTAAGTTAGTAGCCTGGTTGTTAAGTGAATCTGGCTTCCCCGTTGACTTTTGCTTGTCAGAAGGTCGCTAAAAGAGGATCGCGTGACCCCCCTGCAGCCGTCATCAGTCTGAGTCGGATGCCGAGCGCCTGAATTTTGATCGCGTGGCCACTGGGATGTCCCAATGGTCGTAAGCTTGAAAAAACAGTCCTAAGTCACTTTGTTTTGTTTCCCGTTAACATTTTAATTGAGTTACAAGATAAAATAAGATACAAAAGAAAATGGGAAAACAATGAGGAGAAAGTGTGTGTGGGGGGGGGGGGAGAAAAGTGTGGAAGGATTAAGATAAAGAAAAAGAAACATTGACTTCCGACGCTCTCTCTTGTAGTAAAACAAGGCATTAACAAGGGACGCAGTGGCTAAGATGCTGAGCTTGTTGATCAGAAAGGTGGGCGCTTCGAAGGTTCGAATCTCTAGCGCTGCGTAATGGAGTGAGCTCCCGTTACTTGTCCCAGCTTCTATCAACCTAGCAGTTCAAAAGCAAATAAAAATGCAAGTAGAAAAATAGGAACCACCTTTGGTGGGAAGGTAATAGCATTCCATGCGCCTTCGGCATTTAGTCATCCTGCCACTTGACCACGGAGACATCTTCGGACAGCGCTGGCTCTTCTGCTTTGGAACAGAGATGAGCACTGCCCCCTAGAGTCGGGAATGACTAGCACATATGTGCAAGGGGAACCTTTACCTAAGGCATTCACATCAAATCACAACTTTTTGGTTTTTTCCATAATAATAATAAACTACGGATACTAAATGAACTGTTGCAAATTGAGGTCTACCTGTAGTTAAGGCAATAGGCCAGAAACCCAGAGTTAGTGAGTTCAAATTCCACCTTAGCCACGAAAGCCAGCTGGGTGACCTTGGGCCAGTCCCTCTTTCTCAACTCAACCCAACTCAGAGGGTTATTGTTGTGAGGAAAATAGGAGGAGGAAAGAGTATAGTAGATGTGCTCACAATGTTGAGTTACCCATGTTACGGGGTCTTTCGGGCCTCAAAATATGCCCTAGGCGCAGTGTTTCTCAACCTTGGCAATTTGAAGATGTCCGGACTTCAGCTCCCAGAATTCCCCAGCCAGCGAATGCTGGCTG